GGGAGAGCTCGGGAGGAGAACTGAGGCTGAGACCACCGAGCAGCCCGGAGACCAGCGGGAAGAGATAGGTGGATGTGCCGTTCCCTCCCCTGCATTCGACTGCTGATGGGCTCCCCAGCGGGTGAGAGGACCTGCGGACACCAGCCCAGAGACGGCTGCCGCCAGCCAGTGGTGAGCCTGTAGCAAACGTGGCACCAGGCTCCCAACTCCCTCCCGGCACCTCTGTGTGCACAGACCCCAGCCGCGTGGCAGGCGCCATATGCCTCCTCTCCCCTCCGCCGACCTACCCCTGATGCCCAGAGAGACAATACAGCCACCAGCCAGAGGCACCTCCAGGGAACGGGACCTTCCCTTTTGGGACCGTACAGCGACTCAGGGAACTCAGACTGTGAGCTCCCACCGCCAGGCCCTCCCAGGTGCTGCTGGCACGGTGATCCAGGAGAACAGTGCAGACTCAGAGCTGAGAGACATGGATCCAGCTTGGGCCCCTGTGGGTAATTGGACCAGAATCCTCTCCCTGGTGGGGATACAGTTTGAACTCTGGGACCAAGAGGTCAGACCTGCAGACCAGATCCCGAGCACTGAGGTCTAGCGTTGCCTGGGGCACAGAAGGGTTATACGTGAAGAGCCTACTGAGGTTTGTGTGCCTTCAGGGCAGAATAGTGTCCTAGAGGCAACCCTTCCCCAAAAGGAGGCATACGCCCCAGCCAGTGGCGTCTGTGCAGGGAACCTCCCTCCAGCATCACAGTCCGGGGAGGCCTGGTGACGTGTGGTCTGGCGCTGCTGCAGAACCAAGAGTAGCTGCGGAGTTGGGGAGGTGGAAAGAGCGAGGCCACTCCAGACTGGAGGTCTCAGACAGCCCCACCCCACACCCAGACTTTCTGGCTGAGCAGGACCATTCCAGCCCCGCCCTGTCAGCTTTTCCTGGAAGCAGAGAACAGAACTTTGACCCCTGCTAACCACATTGGTGGTGACTGAGGGCAGGCTTACCCAACCCAGCTCTGCCCAGAACAAGAGCTGATAACAGGAAACAAAATCAACAGCATAGCCTGTTCCTACAAGCAAGCGCCACCTACTGACAGGGACAGCATCCTGCACAGCCTTTCCATGGCACCCACTGACTCAATATACAGGGAGTGGTCGAATCTCACCCACAGACACCACCTAATGGCTCAGAAACTAAACAAGGCATGTGAATACCCAAACAAAAACCTAAAGGAAAGAAACAACAACGGATCGACATGGGAAGAAATCAGCGAAAGAACTCAGGAAATATGAAGAACCAAACGGAAAACACACCCAAAGAGGAGCACCAGCCCCTAGAACGGACACCAACCAAAATCAGGCAACCAATATGACAGAGCGACGGGACACCAACCAAAATCAGGCAACCAATATGACAGAAGAGGAATTTCGTATGTGGATCATAAGAACACTCACCGACCTGCAACAACAACTCAATAACCAACACAAAGAAACCACAAAAAGCATCCAGGATATGGAACAAAGGTTCACTAAAGAGACCTACACAGTGAAGAAAACTTTAACCAAAGTCCTGGAGATGAAGAATCAACTCAGGGAATTACAAAATACTCTGGAAAGTCTCAAGAACCGGGTAGATCAAACAGAAGAAAGAATCTCAGAGATTGAAGATAACACCTTCCAATTAAATAAATCAGTCACAGAGATA